GTGAGATTTTAACCCCAGTCAACATCAAATCCGCGTAGCAAAAAAAAAAAAAAAAAATAAAAAAAATAAAAATCTAAACGGTCAACCCCAACAAAATTATGATGAGGAGATTGCCAAATGTGTTCCCCTATGTGTCTATAACGATTGAAACCAACGGAATGTTGAGTAAAAAACTACAGCTTATGATGTTTCAGCCATTTAACATTGAAGTCAATGGGCAAATAATTGTTAGTTTGAGACCGTCTGTGGCTCGTCTATTTATAGCAATTCTCTCTCTGTCCCTTTTCTCCCGTTTTGCATGCCCATTTTTGTTGATATTTTGGTCTAGAATGGACGAAGGGGGTTTGAATTAACATTTTCTGTCAGGTTTTGGTAAATATTCATGATTTTGAGGTGGAAAGATAACGGGGTTATCAGGTTGGCTATACGGTGATATGTACGGCAACTAGTTACATTATTTTAATATGCTTCTTCAAGTTTGTGTATCTCAAAATTTTGGTGGTCAACCTCATACAAATTATAGTGCAAAGGCATGACCATTTGTTCCTCTGTCTGTAGTGAAAAGCGTTCAGCCCAATGAAAATTTGGGGAAAAGTTGAAGGTGGACAAAGAGGGCAGAATTACCATTGAAGTCAATGGGGAAATTATTGGTGGTCTGCCTCCGTCTGCTGTAGAACCTGGCGAAGAGTTATTTCCCTTTCTCAACTATTGTTTCATGACATACACAATTTAAACGACAAACATAATAGTACTACCAGTGAGTGGCTAAGTGAGTAAGACGCTGGCTCGTAAACCTGGTTTCCCCATGTCAGTGGTTTCAGGACGGGTGGCATAACAAAGACAGTGTCTAGTTCCAGTTATACAAAACATTAAATATGCGAGAACCCTTGCGGACTCTGCGGACACCTTAGCTTATGTGGGCGTATGTTTTGTTGCCTGACAAACTATCTTATCGGAAGTTTATAGCAAAGCCGACTCTATTATTGACCTATTATGACTCTTTGAATTCGCGTGTTTCTTTTCGATAAGATGTTATGAGATCTACTGTAGGTATTATACTCTTATTTTGTTGATGCACAGTTAACCGCATTGTGTAGGCTATTGTCGGCCAATTTGGCGTCTAAACCAAAATAAGAATAAAATAATACGATTTAAAAATCTGAAGTTAGCTATCCTGTATACATATACATAACATGTAGGCCTACATAAAAACATATTGCACTGTATGTTAGTTTATGTTGACCGTTGGAATTCGAAATTTGGGTAGACCGTAACGGCGCTGTTCGGGCAAAATTTCCCACATAGCACACTGTATTTTGCATGCGAGTCTTGATTAACCCGGTTGGTACGCGGAACAGTAGGAAGTTAATCCCCATTTCTTTGAATATTACATAATCGGCGTCGTTTCTATTCCTTCATATTCGCGGTCGCCTGTCCAAGCTTGTGTTTTCTCCGGGTCCTCCAACTGCTAAAGACCACTACACGCAAGCCAATTATTGAATTAAAATTGAATCATGTGTTGGACCTAGTTTTTGTCGAGTTAAACCCCATTCTTTCTCTTTTGAACACCATACACGTTATTGTAAACTGTAGTCTCTATCCCCTTCAAAAGCCAGTTGTTAACGGACGGACCGACAGATCGACAGCGTGACGACATAATACGCCCACCCCACACTGAAATTTTGAGCTTAAAAAAACTGTATAGTATACATGACATGTGTTGTCTGCGATATCACCTCAGTGGAAAATGACGTTAAATAAAGTTATTTCACACACACACACACGGACACACACACGACATGTACATTGCTCGTGTTTCTTTTCGATAAGATGTTATGAGATCTACTGTAGGTATTATACTCTTATTTTGTTGATGCACAGTTAACCGCATTGTGTAGGCTATTGTCGGCCAATTTGGCGTCTAAACCAAAATAAGAATAAAATAATACGATTTAAAAATCTGAAGTTAGCTATCCTGTATACATATACATAACATGTAGGCCTACATAAAAACATATTGCACTGTATGTTAGTTTATGTTGACCGTTGGAATTCGAAATTTGGGTAGACCGTAACGGCGCTGTTCGGGCAAAATTTCCCACATAGCACACTGTATTTTGCATGCGAGTCTTGATTAACCCGGTTGGTACGCGGAACAGTAGGAAGTTAATCCCCATTTCTTTGAATATTACATAATCGGCGTCGTTTCTATTCCTTCATATTCGCGGTCGCCTGTCCAAGCTTGTGTTTTCTCCGGGTCCTCCAACTGCTAAAGACCACTACACGCAAGCCAATTATTGAATTAAAATTGAATCATGTGTTGGACCTAGTTTTTGTCGAGTTAAACCCCATTCTTTCTCTTTTGAACACCATACACGTTATTGTAAACTGTAGTCTCTATCCCCTTCAAAAGCCAGTTGTTAACGGACGGACCGACAGATCGACAGCGTGACGACATAATACGCCCACCCCACACTGAAATTTTGAGCTTAAAAAAACTGTATAGTATACATGACATGTGTTGTCTGCGATATCACCTCAGTGGAAAATGACGTTAAATAAAGTTATTTCACACACACACACACGGACACACACACGACATGTACATTGCTCGTCTGTTAAGACACATATTTTAAGTTACGGTAAGTTTTATTTTGGCTGAAAAATTGGTGCATCATGGAAACCCTGGTGGTTCAGCGCGTAAGACACTGCCGACTAACGACGAGTCCACGGTTCGACCATCTTGTTTAGTGGTGCACCAGGCCAGGAAGGAACAACATCTAGTCGTTCAGATGTTACGAAAAATTGGAGGGAGGTTCGGGAATAATGGCCGATTTATATAAATTACTTTGGGGAATACTAACCCTTACTCTTTTAAGAGAGGTAAACGATATAATTGGATCTAGGTTCAGTCTTCTATTTAAAAAGGGTTAGGGTTAGTATTCCCGAACCTCCCCAACCGGCCTACAATAATAGGGCTAGATCTACTGTTAAAGGGGGGGGGGGGCGTGGATGGCCGAATGGTTAGCACGTGGGGGCTGTATCATGAGGTCTGTCATTGAGTCAACTGGCGTGATTTCGATTCCCCGGTTGTACGTGACAAGGAGTAGGATCGCCTGTCCAATCTCGTGGGTTTTCTCCGGGCCCTCCGGTTCCCCCCACTGCTAAAGACCCCTACGCACAAGCGAATAGTCCTGTACGCCTACGAGAAGAGGTATACTAAGAATAAATGGCTATATATTGGCGCAAAAATAAAACCCATAAAATAAGCAGCTGCAATCAAAGCGAGAAGATACTGCCTGAGAATGTATTTTGAACAGTAGATGTAGGTATAGTGAGGTTAATGTCCGACCAGATAACTACATATATCACCTTTCACAACATCTACAATTCATTTCACTTAACTACCTTCACAGATGCTTCATACTACTGCACTATTTATCTCAAGTTATTTATCAAATTGGGGGTTCTATGACCTAAAGTTTACTGTAGAACACTATATTAGTAATACTAAAACCCAAACTAAATGGGATGAAATGAAATGAGGTTTAACTTTCTAGTAGTAGGCCTACTAAGATTTTGTGCTAACGGGCTATGAAGTTGTGTAGCCTACGATATGTGAAACATTGTACCCTGACAATGGTGGCCCTGCTTACTCTTCATCGATTTCCAGTTGTCAAGGCTTCTTGCACGAGTACGCCAACGTGAAATGCTAAATAATTGTAGGGTTAGATATATTTGATAAGGCCAACTTCAAGTTTGGTCAATGTAAACAGGGCTAGCGCTAATCCCAACCAAAACCCTAACCCTGGACCCAGCTCCAATGCTTACCCTAAACCTAACCTACAATCTGCCCACAATCACTTGTCCTAGCAGCCTTATTTACATCTCAACGAATTTGGCAAAAAATGAGATGGCCTTAACAAATAGATTAAGCCAACATCTATACCTCAATTAAAAGCAGAGTTGCTATTTTCCAAAGTCTTGACCAATCAAATTTCTTATCGCTACTTAGCTTAAGCAGAAAATTCTCATCATCGAACTTAGTCAAGGTATTGATATAAGGAATCTATACTCGGTGTTTCATCGCTCTCACCGAGGTAGAACCAAATTTGAAGGAGAGCTATTATGTTCTAAAGTCTCGACCAATCAGATTGAATTCTCTACTTTGCCTAAGCAGAAAATGCTCAGCGCTGAACTTAGTCACGGTATTGATGTAATGAAACTATACACCAAGTTTCATCACTGTCACTTAATTGGAACTAAAGTTATATCGTATCCCAAAGCTTCAACCAATCAAATTGCTTATCTCTGTTTACCCTGTTTTCTTCGAAAGGCGTGGGGGACAAAAACATTATAAATTACAATTACTGGCGCTATGTAAGCCCTGTATATATATACATGTACTTTTTTGAGCTCTGTACAGTTTATGCGCTCGGAGTTCAAGTCCGTTCTATAGTTGTTGAAATTAATGTTTCAGACTATCAAATTATAAAACATCATTCGGATCACTTTTACAGGCCATTTTCTCTACTCCCGCCAATCCCTTTCTCATCCACTCACCGCACGTTCCTCGATTTTGAAGCGGTCAAAGTATTATGAACTACATCTTCTGGTAATTCTGATACATCCTCCTATAAAATAAAATAACTAATATGTTCCATTGAAGTATGAAAATGAAATGAAATGGGGTTTAAAGTCCTACTGTTCTGATCCGGCTGGGCTAATTAAGACGAGTCCATTATACTAACGCAGTCAAGGTAGCCTAGTCTATAGAGATTAGGTTGTACAGATAGCACTGCCCGTGCTCGTCAAATACTCCGTCATTCAAAATAGTGGCGCCTCGCTTCGCTTAGCTTTATATTTCCAGATAAACCAAAGCTATAAATATCGGTGCTTTTACTTTCGTTTGTGTTGCGAAATATCTTCTCATTAAAATTGTCACGAAACAACTTCTACATTATATACTGGATAATCGTATATTGATCGATGAGCGCGCACGCCGGAAGTTTTGATTTTCTATTCAACAACTTTTTGGTGATGTCTCAATCTTTATATTTGCCATTGCCTTTATGATATCATAAATCTTTTGGGATTGAGTAATCACTGACATCTTGAAAAGATGGGACTATTTGGTAAAAATAATGAACGCCCGCCAAAAGACCTGGTATGTATTGTGAAATGTTTTTTTTAGGATTCGTGGGCATGATCTGTTGCTGGGTTCAGAATCAGAGAGACTGCATTTTGGAAATTTGTAGGCTATTTGATTCCGAGATGGCTCCTGGTACAGTAGTAACTGGGGTGTGGTTATGTATATTCAAAAGAATTTCAGTGTAAAATACCTTCTGCAACCTGTATCTACGACATCTACTGAACTGACAAACTCGTAATACTCGTATCTAATTCATTCTTTTTAACCTAATAATATTCGAAAATGTAAGCCTAGGGCTCTTCGAAGATGATTGGGAAGAGAAACATATAGCATTCTCTCTGTACATTGATTAATGCCCAAATTTCAATCATGGGAATTCTTTCCTAGCAGATTATTATGGTCTTTAAGGAGCTAAATCGCTAATATTTTGGACCTAGAAATTGGCACAAATGGGTCGCAACACATATAATAATGTAATATAAATTTATATAAACTGTTTTACATTCAATCGTGTCCGTTTTACTGTGAATTGTCATCAGTTATGTTCGGAGAAATACGCCAGAAGTCTCAACTGCAAGTCAGTTTCTAGCGTCTGGTTATTCCAGTCAACACCGATATTATTTATTGCGCATGCTCTCCAAATAAGAACATGATATCACCGTTTGACATGACTTGTGGAAAATGTCTAGCCCCATTCTTTGAGCACCTTGTTACAAATGGCGCTGAAACGCATTATGGTACACGATTCGTGTACCAATGGTAAAATGTTTATTTTGTCTTAAATATTGGATATCAGAAGCCCATCTTTTCCAGGTAAGATCACAACAGCAATGCTGATTTAAATTGCAAACAAATTCGTGTTTTCAATGTCGAAGATTTTGGATGATATTGAGTTACGGACTTAGCTACTTTAAGAGGCGTTTAGACGATACACTCAATTCATACAACCGTCAGATGCAAAATATTTGACGACTGTTTACACGATACAATGGTTCAAACTTCTTATCTATACGTTGTTTGGCAACATTAACATTTGTTCCTTCTTAGTAATTCAATAATATTGCAGTAAGGCGACGCTTCTCATCCCAATTTTGGTGTAGTTTTAATGCCGCGGGTTCCACAAAGTCCATGCTTCGTATACAGTGTTATTAAATATTCTAATTCATTCGCAGATAGGTTTAGAATCAATTTTATAGGACGTCAAAGTACTCGAAGCGACAGAAAAAGACATCTTTAATCAGGAATTCAGGTTGCCAAGTCAGATATGACGTCATACACCATATGACGTTGTCTTATATAACGCAACTTGATTGGCTATTGCATGGGTTGGTTGGATGAGAATAGAACTAATCCTATCCATGCAACAAGCTGTCCATCCGACCATTTGTCTGATGAGTTGGTCGGATGCGAATGTTGCATCCGACGGTTGTATGGATTGGTTGTATCGTGTAAACTCCGCTTTAAAGTAAACTATTGGTTTGCATGACACATTTACATAATATCATTTTAAAATTCGTTTTTTTTTTTGACAGGTGAATGATTGGACTCATAAGTTAAGAAAAGAAGGCTATGTTATCGAGAGACAAATAAAAGGTATTGTAATCTAATCTATAAGGGGTTCATTACCATGATTAGCGTCATCTGTCCACGGTACGCATGACTATTCACATGTTTTTTTGGGGGAGGGGGGGATTCTCCAGACCTGTTAGAAAAATGGACTCCAGTTTCCTCCCACAGATAAAGACTCCTAGGCGCAAGCAAATTATTGAAATAAAATTGAACCATGTTAGTCCCAAAAAGACCAAGTTTGTGTTGAATAGACATTAAACCCCATTTCTCTCTCTCTTTTTTTATGAATGATGAAATAAAAATAATGTTACTGTTGGTCTTTATAATGTTTTTAGTAGATGCTAAACCAGGCCACCGTGAACCCCATGCATTGCCCTTTCTCCCTCTAAACATGTTAGTTCTTTCTTAGTAGTGGATGAGCACTGTAATAATACTCAGTAGGATAAATAGAGAAAGAAGAAAGTGACAAAATATTAAACCTCTAATTTTCATTTGTTAATAAAGCCTTCTATTGCTCAATTTTAATAGTGATTCTGAAATTTAACCCCTTTTTCGTTATCCCAAATTTCAGCAATTCAGAGAGAAGAAGAGAAGACAAAACGAATGTTAAAAGATTCAGCTAAAAAGGGAGAAAAATCAAGTTGTGCCATCCTAGCCAAAGAAATTGTTAAATCCAGGAAAGTGGTTAACAGACTTTATGCATCTAAAGCTCAACTAAGCTCAGTTCAGATGAGCATGAAAAATCAGCTGGGTTAGTGAAAACAAAGCTTGGTCAATTTAGTTGATCATACTGAAATCATTTTTTGATTGTATTTTAGTTTTAAATCCTAATATCCTGTAATTGAAAACATTTGAATTTTGAAGAGATAAGACATTGAATCCTATTGTATTTACTGCCAATTCCAACTGTCTAATGGTAGACCTCAATAACTACAACTTCAAGAAGTCAAGCCAGGTATGACCGACTCCAAACTAATCTTAAGTGTTTTAAAGATGTAATGAATTTTCATGACTAAGACTTTATGCCAAGTCAAGTGTGATAGTTAAATTCATACAATGTTTTTCTTTTTTAGCTACACTAAGACTAGCAGGTGCCTTACAGAAAAGTTCTGAAGTAATGAAGAGTATGCAATCATTGGTTAAAGTTCCAGAAATAATGGCTACCATGAGAGAAATGTCGAAAGAAATGATGAAGGTATGGCATCAAGTTATTTTTGTTTAATTTAAATCCTGTTGCATGCAACAACTCTCTAAATATAAGTCAAGTATAGATGCAGTGACCGCCCTAGACATTCGCCAGTTCGCCAATGGCGACAATTATTTTTATTGGCGAATAAAGTGATGATACTGGCGAAAAATTTGGCGAATGAATTTTAGAGAGTGTTATTTCGTAAATCCTCTAATATTAAACTTGAAATCGTCTCGTTCAACGCTTCTTTCGATCGACTCGATGGAGTGTCTATTTTTAGTACATTAATTACTCTAGTCTCAATCTTACAAGTTGCAAATCAGTCAATGTTACGTATTACAACGACCGAAAGATCGAGTCTCGAGACTATAAAACACAGTTACGCCCCTTTTGTGTGGCACTACGTTGTTTACATTCGCTTTACTACAAGTTTTCTTTACTTAACTTACGCAGCAAATAAATAAAACGCACAATAATGACAACTAATACTAGTAAAACCAAAATAAGGATAGATTCCTTTTCCTTTCTACGACTACTGTTAGTCCAGAATCTACTTCCGTGAGTGAGAGTGTCATCTCGGACGCAAGTCCTTTGTTGGCTTCATCAACATATGGACAAAAATTAGACCTTAACCGAGACCGTCGAGCTAACCCTCAATGACCTCATGCTTATAAAAATGGATGAACCGGAAAGCATAAATTTGGAATTTGTCAGAGCATTTGATCAGTGGTGTCTTAAAAAGAATCGTCGTGTCTTTTCTGTTATGACGATGAATTAAATTAAATCATGTGACTGTGAAGTAGGCCTAATCTGTCCTATAGCCTATAAACATTTTTTTGTTATCTGCATTCATTCTCTCAATAATAATTTGTGAACTTTTGCATGGACAGGCAAGGAGATAAAATAATATTCTTGTGTACTATATAAGTTCATATTAAACATTTATTTTCATTTTTAATTAACAAACATATGAATGAAAATGATATAAAATATTTGGCTAAAACTTTCTGAATTGGTAGGGTGACCCACCATAAATAAATATCTCCATATATCTCGACAATTTCGCTACAATATTTATATATATGCCAAGCCTCAAATCAGTTTCACACAATTATAGTCACTAAATAAACGATCATGTTGTACTTAATAAGCTATGACCATTAATCATGTATAAATAATAGACTGAAAACTGGTTCCATGTGTCGTCCATAACATCCAGACACTTTTGAGTAAAAGATAGGTTACGTGCCCTTGTTTTAAAATTAGTCTCGCTTAACCAGTCTATCGACCATTCTAGGGCTGATTGACAGGTCGGGATAATCAAGACTACTTTTTTACGAAACATAACAGAAAGCTAGAACAAGAAATTGAATTTAGAAATGAGCACGTTAGCTAGCTCAACAATTGTTTTAAGAAGCTTGTAAAAGTAAAATGAAACTACTGATAGTATCATGTTCCTGTCTAACCCGAGTGTTTCAGAGATATTATTTGTACTAAACCAAAAGATGCCGCTCTTAACGGTACAGTTAATGATAAAGCGATTTAAAAAATGAAACGAACGTAATTTCTAAATCTGCTGTAATAACCAAGAAGCTTAATTTTACTGCTATTCAAAATCGTCAACAATAATTTTTTTATGGCTGTAATAGTTGATAGATTTGTAGAGAATTGCACGTGCCATGGCTATTTATAGTATCATACTGTCAGAAAGTTGGCCTCGACACGGCGAATGTGCACGCTTCAGTGGTAGTCTCGAACTATCAGCGGTTGACTGTATTTCTGTAGGTGCGTGGGTCACCCTAGAATTGGCTAATAAAATTTTGATTTGGCTAAAAAATTTAAGAGTCTAGGGCGGTCACTGTAGATGCTATTTGTATTCAAATAAGAATGGGAAACTTTTGGTGACTTTATTATACTGTTTATCTATTCATGGCATTTACTTTCAATTTGTAAATAAATATACATAATAACAGCTATTTATGGAAGCAATGTAATATTTCGTATAGGCTGGTATTATAGAAGAAATGTTAGAAGATACAATGGAAAGTATAGATGATGAAGAAGAATTAGAAGAAGCTGCTGCAGAAGAAGTAGATAAGATATTATATGAAATAACAGCAGGTAAATAGATTTTTACTTCTTCACAAAATTTATAGGCATTACCAAATTGTACATAGGATTGTGTTCTTTTATCTAAACTACTGGGTACTTTTCTGTCAGTTTGCCCAACAGACATTCATTTTCTTGAAAGACCATTGTACACTGTAGATTTTAACAGATTATTCGATTAGGACGAATAGATTACAAATGATTAAATAGAATTATTTTAAATATTGAATGATAGTCATTCTCTTTGACCAAATATGGTGATGAGGTGTGTGGTTTGACTAACATTTCTGCCAGAGGATCCAATGAGATATCATTCAGTCACTGACAAATAGTCAATAGTGTGTGTTGACCAAACATTGGACAAATTCTTGCTTTTGGAAATATGGCTCTTTGTGCTTGAGGCAATAGATCAGTTTTTAATTAGTGAATTTTATGATTAATGTAAATGTAATAATTTTTATGATAGTTGATATATTACAATACTTATTATTCATTGTAGGAGAGTTAGGTAAAGCTCCAACAGCTGTAGATGATTCATTACCAGTTGTAGAAGGTGCTTCAGCTTTACCACAACAACCAGTTGAAGATGAAGATGATATGGAGGATATGAAAGCTCGACTTGAAGCTCTTAGAAGTTAACTTTCAACATATTTTAATCTCATTTGTAAAAATCTCATACATCATCAAATAAGTGTTAACTGGTTAAAATTACATAGTACAATATATATTTTAATATTTATTTATAGTTTTATGAAGATCAACTTCAAAGAAAACAAACCTTACACTATATAGTTTTAGGATTTGGGAAAATGAGTGTCGAAAAAAAATGATTAACAGTTAATGCACTAAGTATATAAAATAAAAGTTTTACAAAATGTAAAGAATAAAGAAACTCAGCATTTAAATAATCATTCAGCAAGAAATTGTTGAAAACATAAACCACTAACAAGGTTTAATATCTAATCTACGCATCTAGGATACAGTTATATAAAAAAAATTGTACTTACAAAGATCTAGGATATAGTTACGACTAATATTTATAGTTATTCATGATTTATATAATTGCTTGTTCTATATATTATAATAATGAGGGTCTCATTAAACAAGCAGTCTCTGATAAATCTGGTACAGTTCCTTTATGGTAAATATAATAATTTCTACAATTATTAGGATAAGGATATATTCCGGTCAGTTATTCATAACATCTTAATAGAGTTTTTAGATTATATGATTAGACAAAGTAGAAAATGTTTTAGTTCAGTATTGGGGATAGTAAGAAAAATGAAAAAACATCATTTTTTTTTAATGTGTAAAAGATAACATGTACTGTACATAATCAATTGATATCATTAGTAAACCTTGTTTATGTAAATAATAATTGTTGTATTAGAAGAAGTTTGTCTAATACATCTTGTAAATATATTCCCTTATATTTATATGATCAGATATTTTAGTGCGTAGTCTGTCTGTTAATTTTTTTTATTATTATTTAAAGATCGTCTTAGGAAAAAAATTTATATATGGTATAGAATATTATGAATACATCCAAAAATATAGATATGTACATATTATATAAATTGTAGCAATACAAAATATTATATTTCCAAATTTGAGACATTTTTATGAAAACCCACAAACCCTTAATTAAATAGATCTAGTTGTGTGTATTGTTGTAGGGAAGGTTGATGTTTGTTGAAGATTTTCTGCTATACATCTGTTAAATTAATAAATAAGGCTTGCTGAAAGGTTTTCTGTTTAATGTATTGATATTACTGTATTAAATAACCTAGATAAGTTGCCCTAATCATATCCACAGACAAAAATCAATGTGTCCTAATTGCTCAATTTGTAGTTTAGCTCATGGGTGATTAAATTTAGTTTAATTTAATTAACTTACTGAAATAATTAAGGCAGTTTAAAATATTCTTTTCTGTGCTTGTTTAAAAAAAAGGTTACTGCTTTAATAAAAACATTTACTGTATGGCCGTAATATTAGCGCTGTTCTATTTAATTACCAATGATATGTTGAGCATTATTAAAAAAGTCTAGAATCATTATTAATTAGCTTAGTAAGATATAATGCTAGAGAGAAGATTTTTTTTTTATATACATAACATAGCTGTTATAATTAGCTCAAAAATAAATAATTGTTATAGATCTAGAACTTTTCATTTTACTATACCAAGCTACATGTCTTTGTAAATTTCCTGTTAAAAAATGGCTTAATGTCTGTATACATCGGTCTGTATGGAGCAGAAAAGTAGGACGTTAAACAGCATTTCATTTTGTTTGTGATATAACCCTGATATGAAACTTAGATCTTCCCCCAAGTTCAATAGAAGCGAGTGCATAGTAACATAAGCTACCATTTTGTCATCTGAAACCAAAGTTTAGTAAATATTCCATAAGCCACCCCCTGCTCAATTTTAACTTATAAAGATAACCAATGAACAAGAAGCTGTATTAATATTCACTGGTGATAGTAGTGTTTTAGAAATTATCATCTTCTTATTGACAGTATGATTTGAGGAAATGTGATCATGAAAAGTCCTTATGGAATATCCATAAATTTTGTACATTCTAAAAACAAAAAACTGGCTATAAAGTTAATTAGTGTCATTTACACCCAGTCTGAATCCACATCAAAATATACCCTTCAAAAAAAGTAGGGGATATTGAAACCTATGTCATGGACATTTGACATACTTTGAGAGTATGTTCACAGATGAAGAACTTATTGCCCCAACAGAACCACTGATCTGCACATGCGACATGCAATAGCTCCCATACACGTGGGAGGGGTTCATTGTCAAATTTGACACTTCAAGTAAGGGTTGATGAAAACTGCCGCGTGCTGGTTTATCTATCCATGTTTGCTTTCCTATCGGTTCTTGCATAAGATTTACTGTTAAGCGTATCTTTGCTTTAGTATGTTATGTTTAATTTGATTGGGAGACGTGTTCGTCGATGTCAACGGACAACACTGGAAGAATTGGCCGTGGCACTGCAAGAGTGGTGGGTCAGATTGCCCCAAATCGTGATTGGACGGTTGATTAGGAGCAGGCCACGACAAATTGCTGAATGTCTAAGGATTGGTGGAGCAATTACTCATTGCGAGTATCTTTTTTGCGAGTGAAATGAGGCCATCAGATAAGCCGCCCATATGAAATGTTTTTGTTCATGTGTAGGCAATTGGCCTGTTATTAATATACAATGGTTACCTCTAATAAGGTTTTGTATTGTTTCTGAATATCCCCTACTTTTTTTAAAGAGTATATAATCCATTATTATCCTAACCCTGTAGTACCTATACCATTCAAAAGAAGAAACCAAGTCTGTCTTAATGTTTATTACTTCAGATTTACATATAGTTTACATGTGATATATATAAATAATACTCTTTAGACAATATGCCTCAATATACATTTAAAGTGGGAGTACCCCTAGATCAAAATTACATATTCTTTATGTGCCCCCATAACATTCCAATCACTGTACTTAGAAAAACCATTTATAACCTCATTTGTTGATGAAAAATTGAATTTTACAACTAGGGTAAAACAATGATGACAGATTAAAATAACAGTATATAAATATCAGTGCCTGGTTTTTCAACTTGCCGTTAAATTAACGTGTGGTAATTGTCAATATGTGATACTGAACTCAATACATCCGGAAATAGAAAAATGAAATGAAATGGGGTTTAACGTCCTACTGTTCTGCTCCTAACCTTGGCTAATGAAGACGGGCATATGGCATACAGTGTGCTATGAGAGAAATTTTGCCCGGACAGCGGCACTACGGCCTACTCTTATATCGAATTCCAACTGCCAAGGGATCTTTTACGTGCACGCCAATGTGTACACGGGACCTCGGTTTTTCGTCCCATCCGAACGACCGGAAATAGAATGTATCTAATTTAATATATACCTTCTGTACTGTAGTAAATGATTTTACTGGAACAGTATTTACATAACAAAACAAATATTTCCTAATAAAAAAAAAAATAATAACAAATTTTGGATATTTGGGGAATTACTATATTTATAAGAAGCAGCAGCTTTGTTATTTGCATTACTGACTACTTATTATACCATAAACAACGTGTGCTTATCTAACATCCCTTAAGATAAACATAAAAATGGCAATCCAACAAATATCTCAAATAATCTAAGTAGTGAGCACTTTTTTACAATTTTATGTACAATTCCAAAAATCCCAACATCAATCAGACAATAATGTATGACAGAAAAAATTGTGTGTTGATAAAAACGTGTACAGTAATGATTTAACAAATGGAGTAGCATGATTTGTTAGTTTAAGTATTTAGCACTTAATTAATAATACATCTTACTCAACAACAATATTGTTAAAATTGATACCTTTAAAAATCCCATAATGTTCAAATTAATAATTTGTACTAATAACATAAAACAGATCAATATAATAATATCATTGTAGTTTTTCCATGGTAACAGTTCTATTTACATTATATACATTATAGGATTCGCTTTTCAGTGGTCATGACTTCCATATATCTAATTGTATTGTTTATTTAATGTGTACTAAGATGATCAAGTACATATTATTTCAAAAATCCTGATTAGTACATAATACATTTAAACTATGGCTATAATTCATGTTATATTTACACTATATATACACAGTGTCTAGATCTTGTTGATATTTACAGCTGGACAATACAATACAAAAATACCCTGTATGTTACATAATATTTTAGGGACTTCTAGAATAACAAAGCAAGATATAAAAGTATTGTATATTGAGGGGTATAAGTGGTAGAGTGATGGACTATATACTAATACTTCTTATACAAGAAACATTCTCAAAACCATTCTATTCTATGTCCAGTTCCTTTGTAAAAGCCATTCTCCCAATTTAACAATAAAACTTTATTTAATCATTATATAATATAAGATATTATACTGACAGAATAAATGTCTGATATAGAAGGCAGTGGATTATTACAGGCAAATTGTTGGTCAATTAGATTAGAACCATAACTAGTAAACAATTCAAAAGGAATGTAATAAAATACTGATATCCGTGTTGTTGGGCATCATCTTGAATGGTACAATCTCCTGTTAGCCTTGTTTTTATACTTTAACAAAAATCTTAACAATAAATATTGTATTTGATAATAAGGCCCCAGTCAACTTGAAGGAAAATTCTGACTCCCTAATAATTTCAACAAATAATTATTAAAATATGTATGTATGAAACATCTGATCTATCAGACATACATGTGAATAGTAATTATTATATAAAATTATTGTACTACCTGGTATCTATGTTATTGAAGATGTACAAAGTTTTATCTCCTCTAGTAGGAGCAGAATGAAAACACCTGTTACAGCTTTTGTTATATGGATAATCATATCTACCAAAATACCAACATTTGACTACAATTTTAAAGTCTTCTGACAACAGCAAAGTTGACTGGAGGCTTTAATTATCTCTATTTACAATTCATATTTACATTTACACAAATATTTACACTGGAATGATATTATGTATACTTCAACTGAAACTCTGCACATCAAGTAACAGATATTCTTTTAGTGTGGTTGGTAAAGGTAAGCAAGGTACCTGACGAAGTCTTTTAATACCCAGTGATTTTCTAATAACAAATCTACAGTAGTGTTGTAATGTGTGAGGATATTTAGAGAATGAACGATAATATTGGTAAGAAGCTTGTAGGTCTTGATATTGTTTTGAACCAGATTTGATCAGATTTGGTATTAAGGAGTCTAAGGGAAGTTTAATAGCACAATGAAGAATAGCTTTAATGATTGTCTTGTCACCATTTGGGTTTCTTAGTTCTTGCTGTAGCAGAACATCGCCTGCTTTATTTGTTATATTGAAGTCAGCACCGTAAGCAATTAGAAATGCGGCTGCATGCGGTCGTCTGTCTTGTGTACAATGGTCAGTAAAACAGACATAGTGTAATGGAGTATTACCTGAAATATAAGAGTTGAATTTTCAAAATATGGTATTAGAGATAAGATTACAATATCATTAAAGATGCATTATGTAAGAGCTAAATCTGCCTATTTGCAGGTCTTTTCTCTGGCTTCAAACGTTATATAAATTATTATTTAAACATTTAAAACTTGACAAGCTAATAATTAACTCTATGGGCCATTGGATGGCTCATTTAAAATAAATTAGAACACTAAGCCCAGTTAAAACAAGCCAACAGTGAGGCTGATGTCCACCGCTGAAATCCCAAAATAAATAGATGACACATATTAATCGCACATTTATTTTTTTCAAAAGTATCGAGCAATCATACTGATTATCAACTACACTCTCTATCAGACAGAATCAAAGTTATCTTGTCCCAAAGCAACGACAAAGGAAATTGCTTATTTCTGCCTAGCTTTAGCTCGATATGTTAATCATTGAACTCAGTCAAGACGAACATCTACATCAAGTTTCAAAGTCTTGACTAATCAAAATGCTTATCGCTCCTTAGCCTAATAAGAAAATTCTCATCATCGAACTTAGCCAAGGTATTGATGTAATGAAACTATACACCAAGTTTCATCACTCTCACTTAATTAGAACTAAAGTTATCGTGTCCAAGAGCATCAAGCAATCAAATTGCTTATCTCTGCTTACCCTAAGCAGAAAATGCTCATCTTCGCATTCCATCAAGGCATTGACCTCATAAACACCTACACCAAGTTTGAACATTCTAGTTCAATTAGAATGAGAGTCATTGTGCTCCTAAGTCTTGGCCAATCAAATTGCTTATCGCTCTGCTTCTCTGAGCAGAAAATACTCATTATCGAACTTACCCAAGGTATTGATGTAATGAAACTATGCACCAAGTTTCATCACTCTCACTTAATTAGAACTAAAGTTATGGTGTCCCAAAGCATCAACCAATCAAATTGCTTATGTCTACTTACCCTAAGCAGAAAATGCCCATCTTCGAACTCCATCGAGGCATTGACCTAATAAATACCTACACCAAGTTTGAACATTCTAGTTCAATTAGAATGAGAGTCATTGTGCTCCAAAGTCTTGGCCAATCAAATTGCTTATCTGAGCAGAAAATACTCATTATCGAACTTAGTCAAGGTATTGATGTAATGAAACTATGCACCAAGTTTCATCACTCTCACTTAATTAGAACTAAAGTTATCGTGTCCCAAAGCATCAACCAATCAAATTGCTTATGTCTACTTACCCTAAGCAGAAAATTCCCATCTTCGAACTCCATCAAGGCATTGACCTAATAAATACCTACCCCAAGTTTGAACATTCTAGCTCAATTAGAAAGAGTTATTGTGTCCCAAAAAGTGTGACAGACATACGGACGGACAGACAGACAGACAGACGAACCCATTTTAATAAAATAGATAATCAAGATTTAGTTACTACCATAATAAACAATCTACGCTACATTTTGTCAAAACTTCAAACACCATTCACACAGAATAAAGTAATATAAAATTTTCAACATATTCAATTTTCATTATCTATTTTTGAACTACATGTAATAATAAAGCAAGAATGACCAGCTCTTTATCTAATTCTTACATAATGCATTTTTTAAGTAAAATTTAACATCATTTTTCAATAATGGCTTATCCAAACATCTACTGCTTAATAGAGAACTCACATACCAATTCAGCTGCAACAAGAATTGTTTGTAATTCAACCAAATGTGTAAAGCAAGTCAATAGCGAGGCTGATGTCCCTTACCTTAATCCCAAAACAAGCATACAAGTCATTAATTGTCCTCTTCCTTTCTTTTCATGTCTGTTTTGGGACATACATGTAATAACTCTGCTTCTAATTGAGGTTGACTGTTTAAACCTTGCTAGGTGAATGCCTTGACCTACTTCAACGAGTGCTCATATCCCTACCCAGCCTAAACAGAAAATGCTCAATGTTGAAGTCAGTCAAACATTCACCTAATTTTGAACATTCAAATTCAATTAGAAACAGAGTTGTTGTGTTCCAAAGGGTGTGATGGAAAGAGAGAGAAAGAAATGGGGTTTAACCACTTGACACAAACTAGGTCATTTCGGGACTAACATATGGCTTAATTTTATTTCAATAATTCGCTTGCGCGTAGGGGTCTTTAGCAGTGGGAGGACCCGGAGAAAACCCACAAGGTTGGATTGATGGAAAGAAAGATGGAAAGCTGTTTAGACTAAGCAGAAAATTTTGTGTTCACAAACAGCAAGAGGGAGAGAGAGAAATGGTGTAACATATACTCAACACAAACTAGGTCATTTTGGGACTAATATATGGTTCAATCTGCATTTCAATAATTCGCAGGGGTCTTTAGCAGTGGGAGGAAACCGGAGAAAAGCCATGAGGTTGGACAGACGATCCTACTCCTTGTCACATACAACTGGGGAATCGAAATCACGTCAGTTGACTCAATGACAGACTCTTAAAGCATTTACAAGATTTTTCAAAGAGGTCAAGGGCCATAGCTCAAATCAAGAGGCTTCATCGTCTCATGACCTTAAACACTGTGTATAAATTTAAAGTCAATCGGATGTTAACTTGAGCCTCTTAAGCATCCACAAGCTTTTTCAAAGAGATCAAGGGGCTTAACTCTGGCAGTAATTATCGGAAATCAATGAAAATGCATAGACTTCTTTGTCTTATGACCTTAAACACTGTGTTTAAATTTAGAGTCAATCGGATATTAACTTTGGCCTCCAGAGCATTCCACAATATTTTTGATAATGGGCCATAACTCTGGCAGTAATTATCGGAAAAAGGTGAAAATCTAAAGGCTTCTTCGCCTCGTGACCTTAAACACTGCGTATAAATTTAAAGTCTCTAGAGTTTCCACAAGTGATTGTGGACACTGAACCGGCGGACGGACGGAGGCGACGACAAACTACGACCAGATTTTAATGTGGGCATACAAAAAGCACTAAATCTATATACTTATGAAGATATGACAAACTCTACTCACCATTTCGATCTTTTAAATTAACATCGATATTATAACCTTGTGTTATTAACTCTCTAACAATCTCCATAGAGAATTTCTTGTCAGCTATCAATGACAGATGAAGAGCACTAAGACCCGCTGAATTCTTATAGTTACAATCAGAGCCATGTTTCAATAATGATGATACACATGAAAGATTTCCATGACGAACACATTCATGTAAAGGAGTCTCATCTGAAAATAAAATTATTCAAATTCCATTAATTATCACCATAATTTTGCCATATATATGAAAGATAATCCAGTGTGAACACAGACATCTTGCCACAATGTAGCACAATGAAAATCCATTCTCACGGTCACCGATTGTTGAAATCCTTGAAGGTATATATATGGAAACTTTGATGAATTCTTTGAGTATTGCTAAGAAATTATGTGTAAATAAGGCTTGGTCTTTCCAATTTTGTTATGTATATCGGCAATAAATCTCTGGTAACACTGGGCTGTCAGTCTGATATCAACTAATAAATAGAAAGTGAAAGAAAAGAAAACTGAAAGTTTTTGGTATTCAAGAACTGTTATATGCTTCATGTAGCCATTAAGGATTACTTTGAAAGATAGCCAAAGCCTTTTCCAACTCTCATAGCATACATTTAAATATCCAATGTTATTATTTCTTTATTTACGAACGTTATATAACTCAACTTACTTGTTTCTTTGACTGGAATTGACAGTATGTCAGTACGGATAGCATTATCTAAATGTGCATGTACACAATCAGCAAAACCTTTTTGAGCAGCAATATATAGGCTTGTTCGACCAAATTCATCCACTGCATTATAATCCGCTCCATAATAAATAAGTTCCTTTACACATGACACATGGTTGTTCATAGCAGCTAACTGCAAGGCTGTAGTTCCACCAGCGTGGGGAGTTGCTGTAATATAAATTAAAATATGTGATAGTGATGCTTAATTGTTTCGCATACTCTTGTTATCCACGGCTTGCTTTCTTCTATAAACTTAAATCAGGAAAATATGGTCTCCAAATATTAATAAAGGTTATTTTTATTTGGTTTCATCTACGTATTGTGGAAATGTTCATATGCGACCTGTTTGCATAACCACTGTGTACCTTGAAAGACTATTTGCAAATTGCAAGACCTGTACATACAGTATGCAATTACATTAGTTAATCTAGTTAATCTCTGTAAATGAAAATGTGCAAAACCATCCTGTAAATTAGCCTACTTGCCCAGGGTAGAAACGTCAACACTGACATTCCTGCTTCACCATCTTGATCATCATGATTACTATCAACAAACTTTTCTCCAATAAAGCTCAGATTTGTAGTACCGGTAATGTGTTTATGTAAGCCAGAATAATATACATATTATAATCATGGCACCACTACTGAATAGATGTAGCCTAATGTACCTGTATATGACCCATATTTTGAGTATTTAGTTGCAATATTAGTGTCTGCTCCAGCCTCCAATAAAACTTGTAGACATTTTAAACTTCCATTCTCTGCTGCAATGTGCACAGCTGTAACATCAAACCTATCTTTAGCATTTACGTTTGCTGTAACAAAGAAATTAAAACAATAAAATAACAAATTGTAATACTACACAGTGTTTCATTTTGTGCTCACTTCAGAGATAACTGATCAATAATTATAAAGTTTCCACTTTTTCGACCTTTGTTATCTTCAGTTGTTCAGACTATACCTGGCGCTTAAAATAACCCAATGTTGAAAGAAAGCATACAGTGTCCACCTTACAACAGGTTCCATTGATTTATGATTTATTTTAAAATTTGTTACACAGTTTAGTCCACAATGTGTTAATATACACATTTTGGTGTTCTAAATTGATTCTTATACAGAATTCTTATTTAGAGTTGTTTAGTTCCTTTGCGTGTAAGGAAATTAAATCAACAATTAGTTGTAAAATTAATTATGGTGCTGAAATAATATCAATCTAATTGTATTTTGGCAAGTGATTAAGCTGTAATTATAAAATACCTTTTTATAAAGAAGATAAATGTTTATCCATATCAAGTCAATTAAATGTTGTCTAAACATTAAAACCATAATGCCAATTTGAATTAACAAACAATACGAGCATACTTTATTACAAAAACAAGTATTAGTAGTGGACGACATAACCAATGCCTTGTCGACGACATAACCAATGCCTTGTCGACAACATAACCAATGCCTTGTGGAAGACTTAACCAATGGTTGTGGACAAGTTAACTGGCACACTACTTTAGCACCAAAACCCTCAAGTGATGGAAGGAAAATACATGATGTCCAAATAAATCTTTGAAAATATATAGCAACAGCATTATTAAAATGTTTTGATCAAATTAATAAGCATGTCATTGTGGATGTGTTGTCATTAGAATTAAAGCCATTATTATTATTATTAACTTCATTCAAGTTCAAAGAAAAAGGAATCCTCCTTGCAAAAATATCAGTGATCATAATAAGGACGTGAAATAGTGCCCAACGACTATCTTTTGACAAAATCCCACATTTATCACATATTTTCATTCCTGCTGCTATAACTATATGATGTCAAATACACACCTTCATACTCAACCAGTATTTCCACTATTTCCGAACTGTCTTTCGTGACGGCAAACTGGATAGGGGTTAAATAGTTTTTTGATGCATAAAATAAACTCCGATTATATTCTAATGCATCTGCAGATACCCCGGCTTTCAGGAGAGATTCAACTAGACCTGTATCGCCCTCATTCACTGCATCAATTAATCGTTTATCTTGGTCAATCTCTTTTTCCAAAACTTCAGCACTTTTTTTCCATCTGAAACCCGCCATGATGCCAGGGTAGCGTGCAAAATTGCGACTAGACCGAAGCGAAATGTAATATAGGCCTAAAAGTCAAATGCGAAAAGTTAACTAAATGGATGAGACTATAATTGTCCTATGAGTCGTGTTCTGATATCGAAGTTGCCAAACTATTATAAAAGGGAAATATTCGGAATACAACAAAGGAAATATGACGATAAAATTGTTATTTATTTAAAATTATTTGAATGTTTAATTAATGGGAGGCAACTCCAATTAATAGGCCTTATCCAAGCCGCTCTATGCAAATTTAATAATAACAGTCAGGGAATACTTTAAATTCTATAGGTGACAATCAATAGAATAGATTTATAATCAATAGAATAATTGTTAATTTAGTCTTAGTCCTTTTATAAAGATTAAGATACAGAAATACCTTGGATAAAACTTTGAAGTCAGTAGGGAAAGAATTATCTCTAGTCGCGCTATTAAAATACTAAAATAGAGTTGGCTCCCTTTAATCATAAACCCAATTTACGATTTAAGCCGTGAAGAATATTTACAGTAATCTGAGATAGACACAATAGGTTATTTGAACATAGAATGTCAAAAGATGAACACTTGTTTATTTATTTTAGCCATCAATGAACATGTAGACACCCTACATTATATTAGAAGATCATATCTGTTAAATTTAGATGTTAAAGGATCATAATTGTAAATATATAGTATTATCTCCCTTCAACCATTCTTAACAAAGGATATTGTGTCGACCACCCAAAGTTTATACATTTTAGACTCTTATCTCTAAATAACTCTTCACAACTGAACACGGCTTCAGTTGACTTCCGACAGAGGAATTGTGTCAGGGACGATCGACCACAAATATTAAATAGGTCCTCACCATTAAAAGTTTAAGGTTGGGTTAGGGTTCAAACCCCCTGTAGGCGAATTGTTAGTTGATAAGAGGAGTGTGTTGGACAGCTTTTTATCTGGGGCTTTGGAAGGGGCAATAAAGGCACGTCAGTTTGAAATAGAATCAACAAGACAGGCTCAGAAGCAAAACAATATTGGGGGCTTTGACCCATGGAAAAGCTATGGGGTTTACGGCACACTGCTGCACAGCCCTCACTGTGGCATCATTAGAAAATTTTGTCCACTTGCTGTGACAATTAGAGTAGGCTACATTCATTAGTCATTGATTTGATAACCATGTAATTACTTGGTCAGATTGTGATATTTGAAAATATCACTTATGGTTTCTAACCCACAATTACAACCCAGTGCATAATGATTTTATTCAGCATTTCAAACTCAACTATCCTTCACAACATCAAGCCCACATATATATCTGTCTAGTCAGGAAATACCATGACAAAATAATGAACCATTTCTTGCATAAATTCTGTTCATTAGAATACTCTAGGAACATATTTTTAAGGTTGTGTGACTCCATCGTCATGTCATGTCACAGTATCAGTAATTGCTACTGAGCCCCAACTTGCTTGCTGTTGATAACCAGTAACCAATGTATGTTGGTAACAGGCAAATTGCCTACACATGAACAGTTCATATGGGCGTCTTATCTGACGGCCCCATTTCACTCGCAAAGATATACAGTCAAAAGTGAAAATGGACATTTTTGATTTTTGTCTTAATAATGAGTAGTTGCTCCACCGATCCTCAGACATTCAGCAATTCGTCGTGGCATGCTCCTAATCAACCGTCCAATCACGATTTTGGGCAATCTGACCCACTCCTCTTGCAGGGCCACGGCCATTTCTTGCAGTGTTGTCGTTTGACGTTGATGTCGACGAACACGTCTCCCGATCAAATTAAACGTAACACACTGAAGCAAAGATACGCTAAACAGTAAGTCTTATGCAAGAACCGATAGGAAAGCAAACATGGATAAACCAGCACATTGCAGTTTTCAACAACCCTTCCTTGAAGTGTCAAATTTGACAATGAACCCCTCCCACATGTATGGCGCTATTGCGTATCGCATGTGCAGTTCAGTGGTTCTGTTGGGGACGATAAGTTCTTCATCTGTGAACATACTCTCAAAGCATGTCAAGTGTCCATGACTATTTATATCACAATCTGCATAGGTATTTGCATTTCAATATCCCCTATTTTTTTTTTTTAGAGTATAGATATATCTCAATGGTCAGACATCTAGTATAGGGTTTATTTTGTCAGTTATCAGTAGCTCGAAATAGGAACAAACCATACTTGCTCTCTGGATCAATTTATATCTCTCCACACATATACCAACAGATTTAAAAAAACAAAAACACATTTATTTCAAGGGAAATAAGTGTTTCTTTATTAAGAAGGATAGGACAATTCTAAGATCTCCTAGCTGTTATGCAAAACACTTCAGATTGGCCATACCACATAAAACAAATGTACATTTCACTTTCACATAATTTTTTAAAAAAATAATCTATTTATTATGTACATGGCTAGGACTCATGATAATGATGTCATTTACCCCTCGATTTGTACGAGTTGACTTTCACATGTAAATATTTCTTATTACAGATTTTAAGGAGTCCAGCAATGGTGATCTCTCTAACAATAATTAACTTCTTCAAGAACTATTAACATCTTAATTGCGAAAAAAAAAAAATGGTTGACAAATTATTAACAAAGCAATTTCAAAAGCAAATGTTAAAATATGAAACTTTAACAGTAATTAAATGGATGAAATAATGAATGAAACTGTGAAATGAAAAACGGACATGAAAGTGAAAAGTTAACAACAATGGTTGACATGAAAAGCTATGTTTAAGAACATCTGGTATTAAATACCCAGTTAATACCAGATTTTCAACATAAAGCTTACATTACATGTAAAATACAGGCTCATATATAATTGTGCCTTTTGTCATAACAATACAAATATCTGTATGATATAATATATTTCTGCTCAATGTATATATTAATACATCTAATAGATTTAATATTATTTATTATATATAGATATCTTTTTACCTACGTACAATATATAACCACAGAACAGCTTCATTTTTCTATCGATATAAACCATACATATTAATTAGCTAAATTGGTTAACAGAATAATTTACCATTTTCAATATTATTATCATTATTAATTTTTACTCTTTAAGACCAAAAAATATGGTGCATTTCCCTGACAAAAATCAAAGTAACAATCAATCATACATTTGATGAATGCATGTGATAACTACAACAATAGCATCTGGTGTGCTTTTTCAACACAAATATATTCTCCAGTAAATAAATATTGCAAGAATCTTGTGGTCTCTGAAAATAGCACAATAACACACAAGTCTGTTTATCTTGCTCAGCTACACTACAATCCTTGGCAAAATAATGCCGGTTTTATTTTCATCCATTGGATGAAAGTCTAATATCTCGCCATGTGTCCTTATTATGTTATAGAATAAAATGCACCAAATATATAAATAATTATTCTTTGTCTGTTATAACTAGTCTATGATAACAGATTGGACTATGCAGCTGGTCACCTCACTTTATAATATTAAATATAGAGTCTCTCCTACTCTAGAATTTGTAGAAAATATTACAACCATTTACAATGACAACCGTTCTGTTATTGCAATATCCTTGCAATTTAAGTTTCTTTCCACTTGTTGTCACTTTCTCAAATATTAATAGAACCACAACACCAAATTCCCCCTTGTAGAGTTGTATCACACATAATTAACACCACATTAATTTAATAATCAGCATTGTCAAGTCCAGGGGTATTGTTTTATTCATCTTCAGGATCTGTATCGCGTAATACTGCTACAGCATCTTTAACAGCATGGTAGATAATATTCTTAACCTGTAATTTATCCTCATGATTCGAATGGGTGTCAGAAAGTTGTCTGAATTCTTGAGTTAGACGGAAACAGTGATTTAGATGTTCAGGTGCCACAAAATCTTCTGCTACTTTGACGCAACTGTGTAAATTACGAACCTGTAAAATAGAAAGTATTTTTTGTTAAATATTTATATAACTTTTAAAAAGTTGGCCCTTATTTGTATTGAACATTAATAACTACCAATACTACAACTTTCAGTATTTACAGTTTACAAACAGATAAATTTATTATGAATGTTAAAGATTTTGAACTGCCAGGCTAATTCCCCATTAAGTTTATTAAGTATGTTATATTTACCTGATGTGGTGCTCCAGCTGGTATAAATATAGCATCACCAAGACACTGTACTATAGTATAACCCTGTACACCATATTCTTTAGATATTCTCTCTCTTAACTTCTCATCTAAATACCAACTCTGATCATGTATGGGATCATGATCTGGTTCTATTGTTTCTCCATTCTCCTTTGCTACCTACATTAAACATTTGATCATAATTAGCTAGCAGATATTAGAGTACTGAATTGGGTTGTTATTTGGATTTAGGATGGGACAAGCTCTATATCGAACACAAAATCAGTTATCTTAATACTGGCTATATCTTTAGTTGTAAAATTGTCAACAAAAGACAGATTTTCATCCCAACAAACAAGTCAACCCATATAATCCAATGAAATTGACTATTTTATTTTTGACTCAAATAAAACCAGGAACACACTAAGTCAATATTAATGAGTCAATGTAATAAGTTAAAGGAGAATGAAAAGCTTTCTCACTATTATCAAAGTTGTCACAACAGAACAAACACAACTAGACAAATTTTATAAGGAAGCAGTATAAACAAGACATACCTTATTGAGGAAATCTCGGATTTTGTCAGCATCATGAGCATCATAGATCTGCCATAAAGCACCAGGTACTTCATGTACTTCTCTAACTCGACGTTTAGTTATACTATCACAATCGGCATCATCGATAGCCTTTAATGCAGCTGTAACATAAATTATATAATATAGACATTCATTTCAGTGTAGTTTATTTTTTAAGCTGTAAATCATTTACAAAAAAAAAATCTTGGTGAAATAACATGAACATTGGAAACAGACATACCCTACAAGAGGTTAGAACTTCGCATTTTGGCTATTCCTTTACATTTGGGCTATTCCTTTACATTTTTTCATTTGATTACAGTTTAAAGTTTGACATGCAAAATTTTTTGAGACTTACCTTGTTCATGTGTTTTACGACCTCCTTCACCATCACAAGGTACTCCAACATACACCATAACATTAACAGCATCCGAAATATCCAGATGTAGATTAGTTGTTCCTTCAGAAGGAAACTGAGAAGAACCATAAGCGTTGTACATCTTGGGTCCTAAATCCGGACGAACCAAGAAATCTGGCAGACGAGAAGCTAGATTAAGTTTGCCTTGACGATGTGTATAATCTGGAAGTGGTAAGGCCTGCATTAAATCATGAAATCTCGTTGGTAATAAATCACTAAAATCATCCCCTGGTGGCCAATCTTTTAACTTTAATAACATTGGTTCATCTTCATCATCTGTTGGACGTTCTATAAAAAAAAATTATTTTTATTATTAAAGATCACAATTATATATCGGCATTTATAATACTGTATTTATAGTCCAAATAGCCAAGGTTACTTTGGACCAAGATATCTTTCTTTGACTAGGGGAAGGAAACCAGAGATAACCAAGCCCAATTATTTATCAACACTGCATTGTATTATTACTGTGTCATAATACATTCTTGTCAATATATACATGTAACAGGAAGTATTATGATTAAATCTTTAAAGCCAATATTTAACATTAAAATTAGTGTAATTTACTTACTATTCAAATATTCGAAGCCATCCCAGAAATCACACATAGGATGACCAATGATGACGTTACCACTTCTACAATTAACCAAATCGTTATCAATATGACCAAATTCTTTACTGAATGATTCCGGTCTCCATAGATCCAGGTTAACATATTTACTGGTACCCGAAACAAGCACAGGCTGAAAATAAACACAATTTTTGTTTATTAACACAAGGCATAGTACACAATAACTAGATGGAAAGTATTGACCATTATGGTCTAGAGGCGAAATCCGTATAAAACAATTCATTAGCATAGAATAGAAGTTAACACTCAACACGTTTAAGTTTACATCAATATAAAATGTTAGTGGTAACCAAATACAATATAGTTTGTAATATAATATCAACAGGATATCAGTTATAATTGAAATATGTCATACACCTACCTGTCCACGTTTCCACTGTTCTTGAAATATTTTCAGATTTCCCTTGTGTTTTGGATCATGAAGACGTAGTAAACGACCATCACAAAGCCAGGAATGAGGTACATCGGGATAAAGAACACTTGTTTCTGTTAAGTTATGAACAGCTATAGGTATATCACGCTTCCAGCCTCCTAATCTCGGAATATAATGCATGAATTTAAACGGCTGGGTTTCACTATCGCGACAACTTTTCTCCACAACTGATTGAATGATATCGTCGAGTGTGCTGCCACTGGTTTTTGGTTTTGAGTTCTTTTTGTTGTTATCGTTTGACACTTTAGCTTTTCCAGCTGTTTTAGTGAGCAATTCTCTTAAAGTAGAACAACTTGGTTGTGACTTTTTATCAGAGTCTAAGTCAGCACTTGGAGACATAGCACTTTTATCAAGTGAATTTTTTCTGGAATCATTTTTATCTCGGCTGCCTTCAGAATCGAGAAAGGCAACATCAGCTAGTAAGCTAAGAGGTGAAGAGGTTGTATCCGGATTATAATTATCCAGCGTAGATGTTTTGTTGCCATTAACTGTTGCAGGATTTTTATTGTTTTTCTTGCCCTTAGTTGGTTTATGATGATCATCTCCTACACCATTCACCATCTTTTTATTATTGACACTGTTTACTATTTGCTGAAAAAAAACGTACAAAAATATAAATATTTATTACTTTTTCACTTGACACAGATGAAAGTCAAGCTATATATAGTATATGAGGCTCACAAGGGTTCAAAAGAGTATAGATAAAGTAATAAATACAAGTTATTATGTCAATCATCTCTACAAGTTAATCATCTACTTCACTGCTTTAATTCATTAATACTAACCTGACTGAGCCCATTTTTATTGAGAAACTTGGAATCGCTGCCATGACCACAGGGACAAGTAGCTGGTATTGACCATTTGCCTCGTATATCATGAATCAATCGACCCAATTCCCATAAAGCATCACTAGGAATAATCTGTGTGAGCATCATTTTATCGGGTTCATGAGCACTTCTGTTTGAACTACAAGTCAGCCATCTATGATCCTCATCAACTGTAAAGAAAAGATAATGACATATAATAAATGTACTGAAATAGAAATACTGATAATGTTTATTACTCACAACAAATTACCTAGTTTGTAATTTATTAACCCTTGTCAGCAATAAAACACAATTCATCTTGTAGATAACAACCCACGTAATTTACTCTTAATGAAACTGACATTTATGAATAATTTACAAGTTACTCTTCTGAAGAGAACAATGAAATGGAATTCTATGATAAAATATGACAAAGAGAGCACTACTAATGAAATAACTGAATGATGAGAATTCTTACCTTTAGTATCAGTCCCTCCTTTTACTTTAGCTTTATAACAATCAAGACAGACCACAAAACCACATTTATTACACACCCAGTGCATGTTAAATAACGTTGTATCACAGACATCACACATTTCACGTACACCTTGTACAGCTCTCTTCCATGCTATTTTACCTGTTATATAAATATGTCATAATATAATACAACAGTCAGGTGAGATTTCCAGCTGAGAAAATGTCAGGTGAACAGTCGCTCTGACTTTTGTAAACAGGGTATGTTAACCTTTAACTGGTCAGACTCAAATTGCTATCACACTTTGAACATCATAGCAAAAATGTTGACAAAACTCAGCATGTGAACACCTGGTTAATAGGACATTTGCAAAGGTCACGAGACAGCCCTAATAAACCACAGGAAGCTAACTTCTTAAATGACTATTAAACTTTGTACAGCAAGTTCCTGACTATAGCATTGATTCACATCTGTATCAATGCTAGATTTATTAGAAACAAAGGTGGGGTGTGATCTGATTGTTACACAAACTGTACCATTATCAACCTATGTATTTGAATGAGTCTTACAAACTTAAAACTACTATGCAGTAGATTTTAAGATGTTAATTGAAATACTTACCATTTTTACCAACCAATGACATCGATTCTCTTTCTTGTTCGACCAATTCACAGAACTTATCTCCAACTTTGGTGATAATAAATTTAGATGTTTCAATATCTAACTTGGGCATTTGAACTGAAAAGACAATAAATTGACCCAATTATGAAAAGCTAACATTAAGAAGATTAACCTACTGATAAATTATGAACATATAACATAAATATCCCTTATCAAATCTGATGAATTTTCCTATTATATGACAAATTATATAACAGTAAATAGAGATGTTTAATGACTTTTCTACAAATAATGTATTTACCTGGTGTCCTAGGTAACCAAGGTTCTATATCATCTGGATCAGCATCTGATAACTCAGAAAAGCCATAAATAGATACAGCACCTTTAGGATTGTATTTCAACCTGGAAAAAACATCTATTTCGATTAAAACGTGTATAAAAACTTGGACAAAAATGTTTAAATTTGTTCTCAAGGAAGTAATAAAGACGGATAAAATTAACATAAAAGCATGAAGGATGGTTCAGTTTGGCACACTTCACTGTAGTTTATTCAGTTTAAAATGTGTTTATCATGAATTACAAATAATGTGTAAGACATGAGATAAACAAGATCCAAATTATAAATAAAGCTATGTACATTAACTCTTCATTGTCACATTCATATAAATAAGCTGTAGGGCTATATTCATGGGTTTTCTATAATGGGTTTGTATGTTAACACAGACATTGTGTTAAAAAGCTCCTCTAGTTATAATAGACAATGTTTACAATTACAGATCAAGCCCGGGTGAATTTCAAACATTTACATATCTGCACTCGCCTCTATTATGCTAGTAAATATATACAGAGAACATGTCGATAAATTGACGTCACAGACGCTGATCAATATACCCACATCTTTTGTAGTCCAATAACAGTGTTATTAATATAGAAATATGATTTTACTGCAACATGTTACACGCAACTCGTAAACAAATATACTACGAGCTGTAATCTATATTCCTTTCATTATGCAGCCTTGTGTCATTGCTATTGATTAATATGTTTTCTACTTCTATTTAATCCATAAAATATAATGAGATTTTAGCATGATTGTATGTCAATAAATTCTAGGAATATTTTTCGTATATAATAACTTGCCTCCTAAATGCATAAAATCGACAGAATATGTTTGGTTGTTTCTTGCTAAGTTGAGTGGCAGACATTTTACATTCTCGACATTTCATTAATTTAGGAGCAATTTCCACACAAGGGCCATCTTGAACAAATGGTTCACAAGTTCTCTTTAATATTGCCAGAGACACCTTTACTAGTGGTTTATTGAAGGAGCCTGAAAAGGAAAGAAAGAAGACAATCAGACGTAGTAAATATTTCTGTCTAATAATCAACCACTAATCCCTTTCTCTCACTACGGGCTGTCTGTAATTACCATTCCCTAGCCAAGAAAGATAGGAGAAAATAGTTCCCACCAGCATTCCATGCCAATCTGGCATTTAACCAAAACTAGAAATAGTAATACATCAAGCTATACCATACATAAGTTACATATTACTAGTACCACGTTTATTTATAAACAAGTATTATTATCTATATAGCTTACCTTCATGTTTTTCAACTGCTTTACTGTTCTCTTTACTACGTCTTGTTGTTTTTTTCTTCTCCTTTATGCTACTGGTATTGTTGCTGCCTGTAGAATTAGTTGTTGATTCCATACTAACATCAGATTCATGATGAGACGGTGCTGGACTACCTATACTGGATGCCTTACTACTCATCTTATCCTCAGATTTACTATCTGTTGTATCCATTTTCTCATCACATGAATTCTCTTCTTCAACCTGAATAATAACACACAAACAAAAAAAACAATGAATCGTCCCAGATAGATGAAAACAAATGTGTCAAGGAATTTATTATAAAAATAATTTCTATAACCATGAGTAAATATTTTAATAAAACTTACAGGGGTTGTTTTCCTGGTTTCTGGTTTCTTTTCTGTTTTAACTTCAGTTTTGCTGCGTTTGTTATTAGGTTTCTTTCGTGTCTGGTTGTTTGGTGGTACAGGACTGGATTCATCTTCTGTTTTTATTTTTTTAGCCCCACTATTTGACTTTTTAGTTTTTACTCTCTTTTTTGGCAGTGTGTTATCAACAGACTGGAATTAAAGAATTTAACAAAATGCAATGCTAGAAATGAATGAATTACAGACCTACATAACACAGAATTACACATAACAAATTCAACGATATCCTGCATCCATTTAATGTATATTACTTTGAGGCTTGATTACTAATTTCAAAAAACAATATTTCCAGATTTTAAGCTTACCTGAGACTCTGTTTCTGAAGCCGATGAGGTAGATTCATCAATATGATTCTGACTATTTATATTACCATTAGGTAGTGTTACACTCTGTGTACTGGTATTATCACATATTGGTTTATCTTCATCAACACTATTAGTCTCCTCTGCCTCAACACTTGACGCTTTATCAATTGCAGAATCAGACATATTATTGACAACTATACCATCTTTTACTTCCTTAGATGCATCTGAATGACGCTGTAACCAGGCTTTCTTCATATTACGATGATTACTAGATGATAAGGACAACGGACTGGAATCCGATTTAGGCGGAGGACTTGGAGCACTTAATGTGTCACTATCGGTATCAGCATGGCCGTTAGCTACACGGTTAATAGTATCCATTATAGATGCAATATTGTTGCTTAAATTACTTGCATTAGTTACTGTCGAAGAAGAAGAGTCTTCGTTCACAATAGTAGGTTTTGGAGCGACTTCAACAACTTTTTCTGGAGGTTTTTTCTCCTCCTCGAGATATGCACTTTGAACTGTATTTTCTACAAATGATTTGAAACTGTCCATATAACTAGCCGTATTGTATGGTGATGATAACACTGATGACGTGCTATCAGTTGAAGGCTGGGTTCCTGCAACTGAACACATGACACTTGTGCGAGATGGTGTATTGCTAGTAGTGGTGGTATAGGGGTTGAGGTTGGTAAGGATTTGTGGTGTGGTGACAGGTATTGACAAGGGAGATGACATATTAGGCATCTCGTTTTGAGCTTTTTGTCGCTTCCTGACCCCATTATCCTTAGTTATTTTCCGTTTAGCACCAGGTGGAGCTGATGGTATGTTAGTTGTGTTGTTATTTGATGGTGAACTGCTAGGATAACAATGTGTTGGTGACGATGCTGTAACTGGTTGATGACTGGTACCTTTCTGAGCAGCAGAACCTGGTCCGTGGCTGTACATAGGATTAGGGACAAGACCTTGCTGTATTAAACTATAGCTGTACGCCAGTGATGTGGGTGGTAATGAAACTGGTGGTTGAGCTATAGATGGGTGGTATGGTGAACTGACAGGAGGATTTCCTCCTGGGTTAGTAGGAGATGATCCAGCCGAAGTGATAGGTTTCGATTTGTTACTACTTTTACAGTAATCAATGGGTTGAGCCATGGCTGCTGGATGATGTGACTGTTGACTAGTAGCTTTAAATGGACTTTGTGATCTGCTGGATGATTTATTGTCCAGTACTCTGAAGGCTGTAGAATGAGACTGACCAATCATGCTGGAAGCAGACGACATCAGATTATGTGAAAGTAAATGATGAGGAATACCAGATGCAGGACTTACAGAGGTCTGATCTCTCTGTTCTGGTGTATGAGCGGGTCGAGGTTGTGGACGTGGCGATGAGGATGAAACTGGTAATGAACCCCCATACTGACTGCTAGGACTGTTACTCTTACTACTTCGGTTATCAACAATAACAGAACCAGGGTGTTTAGCATCTTTATTCATATGTAGAAGACTTTCTTTACTTCTGGGTGATAATGATCTGGGGTTGCTGTGAGCTGGACTAGGTTGACCTAGTTTTAGATCTGGCTTTTCATCCTTTATGCCTTCATCTCTTCCTAATCCATAAATATGTAACTGATCTTTTGTAATTACAGATGGATTAGCAGGATAACCGTATAGACTGAAGATGGGTTGTTCTTGTTTTACACCATGAGACGATGTAGAAGTGGGGTACCGGGTGTCTCCGTAAGGATACATGTAATTATACAGCAATGGTTTACTTTCTAATTTAACATCATTCTTTATATCATTCTTCTTATGTGCTTCTGGTATGTTACCTAAATACTTCTCTTCACTTTGTCGGAGTGCACTATCTTGATACCTTTCTCGCTCAATTTCCTGCAATACATAGAAAATTTCACTTATGTAATCAATTTGTAATAAATTAATTTTCTATTACAATACATGACTCATATACAATCTTACACACTCGATTGTTGTTGAAACCAAAACTATGCAGTGAATGATGTGGTCTCCTGTATATGAGTAATAATGATACTGACTCATTGATAAATTCATCCTAGATGAAATCTGATGAAACGACAAGACTACCTTACGCCATCTGCTATTTACAGATATTGCTAAGCTCAATTGCCAGACAGAAAGTCAATCAAGTACAAGAATACTGTGAAAGGAAGTACACAATTCTAGTATAATTGTATTTGTTATATCTGACTGGTTACATTAAAATGAGTCATGACTACAGGCAGAAGAATGAAATTAAATAGCTGTCAATTATCACGTCCACCACAAAAACAAGTCAAAGGATCATTAACTAAAACAGGAGGAAATAATAACATGATAATATAGCTATTATACTTTCTGCACTTAAGATATTGCTATAAATAAACCATTTAGGTACACACTATATCTGTAAATAAATATCAACCCTGAAATATCCCAGCTTGTTATAACTATACAAGTATATTTTTGCTGATATTTGACTTCAAGGAAACAGGGTTTTTTTGCTAAAAAGAAAATAAATAAAATTTTCAATGCAAAATTGACTTACCCTTTTAACCCTTTCTTTATCATCTAATAGTTTATCTGTTCCCATCATACTGTGATGTGGTGGAATTTCAGATTTTGGTATCTTGCCTGTTCCAAGTGTGATGGATGGTGTAGGCCATTGGCCACCTAAACCCTGAAAAAAAAAAATAATACACATTTTGAGTTAAAATGGAAATTTGCAAAAAATTTTAAACAGGGAAAAGCTTAAGACAAAATATAATCATTCAAAATTAAATACAATACATGATCATATACAGTAAACTGAGATTAATAACCTACCCTTTGGCTCGCCAGTCTTAAAGATTCTGTGAAATGATGATCAACTGCAGCGACTGAATCTACCGTTTCACGTAATATACGCCCTCGATCAGATTTCTGTTCTCTTTCTCTTCTTATTCTATTCTGCTCCTGACGATTCCTCTCTATCCTTTCTTTTTCTAACCTCTCTTGGTCTTGTTTCTCTTTCTCTAATCGTTCTCGTTCTTTATCTTGTCTTTCTTTCTCTTGTCTCTCTCTATAACAATAATCAATAAATAATAAGTTATATGATAAAGTCATAAAATATTTCTATCACATAAAGGAGTTATGCAACTGTAACACATTGTGACATCTCATATTTTATTTATGACTGATTAGTTTTATTCAATCAGATGATAAAATAAAAGATAGGTTGCCAGGCAACAAAACATATGCCCACAACAGCTAAGTCGTCCGGGGAGTCAACAAGGGTCGTCACACATTTTTTTTTCTTTTGTCAGAAATGAAAACATGTACAACAGACTAAAATCTGATTATGAGTAACAACCATTTGGCTTCTAGTTCTGCCCTATTCTAACATTTAGCATACAAAACATTTAATAACAATTGCCATAATCATTGCAAATCGTTGAAATTTGATAGGCTTCTTGATTCTTCATCTCATGACCTTAAACACTGTATTAAATATAAAGTCAATCGGATATTAACTTTAGCCTCCAGAGCGTCCACAAAGATTATTTTTTAGAGTGATCAAGGGCCATAATTCTGGCAGTAATTATCAGAAATCGTTGAAAATCAACAGGTTTCTTCGTCCCATGATCTTAAAAACTGTGTATAGATTTCAAGTCAATCAGATATCAACTTTAGCCTACAAGCAATGTGGGCGTATAAAAAATGATGATGGAAATATCTATTAATATTTAAAATATTACATACATATTTTATAATAATATATTGTGGGTCAAAAATACTCAAACATATTTGAAGTACATGTATGGATATAGGGGAGAAGTGGGCTACATGTACAAAGTAAGTACTATAGATTCATTTTCAATAAAATCTTCTTTGAATTCTAAACAAATTGTAAAATAACATCAAAAGAGCGGCAAATATAAATGAAAGACATAATGTTGTGTTTGCATGTCCCCATTCTGAAATTAGACCTCACAGAATTTAAGTATACAACAAAGAGATCTTTCATTTTTACCTTCAAAGCCTTTATGTGTATTCCTATTACGTACAAAGAGCTTGCCAGACTACTAAATCACTCTTCTATATAATCTAATGTCAGGTAAAATCCCAAATATCTACCACTATCAAATAAAATCATTTATATCACCCAGTCTCTTGTGTTGGCCATGATAAGAAATACACTACCACCATTTCTCAACACAACACGTTGACCTCAATTCACCAGCTATATAAACAGTTCAGCTACTTAACAGTGCTTTGGGCCACAGCTACACACTTGTATAGAGTAAAGTTAGTCAAGCTAAACCGAGTTTAATATCAAACTATAAGTTACACCTCACAGTAGGCTTGTATTTCTTCTAAACTACTGAACTGTAACATACCCGACCTAATATAAATTCTATCACATAGTAACATGAATAGCTATATTTCACTTAAAAATCAATTACTCTCCATCAATTCAGATAGGTAAAAGTGCAGCCTGAGCAAAAACAATTCAATACCATATATGGATTTAAAATATGTTACACCAAAAACATATAGCCTAAAATAGAAACCACACATGGACAATTCTGGACTATCATTACATCAGAAAAACCTTTAAACTAAATATAGCGTGCTAATAAGCAAGTTATTTAAAGCCAACTAAATCAGTCAACTCTTTCGGAACAATACATAACTAATTCTATCTCAAACCCTCCACAGTAATAATATATTTTTAGAATTACAGTAACTTTAGGCTTTCTGTATGTATGTAGGTTGTGAATATGTCGCAATAACCATGAATGCCATTATTATTGAGTGTACCTTCAAGAAATGACTTTGTATTATCAGTTTTTTTTATCTAAGTGAGAATGAATAATGACTCTAACATGGGTGATCAATAACGCTATGTGGTTTAATTATTCACAGCTATTTACTATATTTAATATGGACGTAGGTCACAGCTTTAGACAGCTAATAATATAATCAATACTTTAGCAATTACTATACAGTACTTGTACTCACAATATAACCTAATCAATCAAATAACTTACAACCTCGGTGTAGGCAACTTTAGTCAAATTTCATATCAGAACATTTTTGAATAAATTTTAAAAGGCAAATCTTATCCATTATCATTCAGCCTAATGGTATGAATGTAAATGCCCTTTATGCACTTACAATTTCAAATGCAAAATATTTATCGCTTAAGACACTATTTTGAAATGAAAGTATTTTGAAATGCATTAAAATGCATTTAATACAGAACCAAATGCATTATAACAAAGCGCTGAACAAAATCTTGACAATGTGCAGACGTGACATACCATTTCACCTGGTAACACTGGCATGCAGGTGATTTAACAATACTTTATCACAAGCCCAGGGATTCATTATTTATACTACCTTAAATCACAGCATGTTTAAAGATAAGGTTGGGTTAAATATCAACAATATTATCAGTAATGTGTAATATAGTGCGAGGTTAAAGTAACCTTCATAAACTATCAATACTCTGCCTTCTTAATGTAAATATTACTCATGTTGACCTTTCACCTTTAATATAAATCTCATACTGAGAAAGAGCCCATTGGATAGCCTGGTGTCTAGCTTATAATAAATACATTTACCCTGACCTTAATTTGTATAATTTATAAATGTATCATGTTCTTTGTGCATGAATGCAGTAAAGGTACAAAGAAGATCTACGCAGCTTTCAGGGACACATCTTTCAATCAAATGAAATAAACATGACTGTCTACATTGCATAATATAATGTAATATAATGATGTAATATTACAACATCCAACTATTTTGATAGCCCTCAACTCTCTCTTTTTGTTCTATGTACAATATTTACACCAATAATACCAAAAGTTTAACACCCAAGTGACAAATTTACTCTTAGAAATTTAAACTAATTGTTAGTGGCTTTAGATAAATGCATATGAATGTGTATCGATCTTCTTTAAATTTCAATCTATGTAGTCAACAGGAGAACTATAGATATTTATCAAATATTTTTTTAGATTTATCTTCTATGATACCCAACAGACACAAAAACATGTAACTCTCTCATATGGAAGTAAATAGCTTTAAATTGTTCAATTGTATGGGAGAATAAATTCTATGCATAATTCATGTACATGTCATTACCGTAGTTAACCAGCCAATTCATCTTAATAATATAAATTTAATGTACCAACAAAAGTCAAATGTAACCTACACTTTATATGTAATATATAAACAAAATACATTTGCAAAAAAACAAAAAAAGAAAGATTTTTTAAGCTCATTTGACAGTAACCGTGTACCATATTTGTGGGTACATTGATGTGTTTGACCTCTTGTTGTCTAGCAAGTAAAACTGTCCTAGCTCAACATAAATCAATATCCACCATTAGATAAAACTCTCTTCATTATGTTACTAACTAACAAACCCACCTGTCTAAATTATCTCTTGAAATAACAACTTCACAATATACTAACTAATATTCTTATTTCATAAGCACAACTTTTCTTGACTGTAGAAACTTCTAGCCATTAAAACCTGAATGCTTTTTCTGTCTTGTAAACTAGGTTATCCACTCACTGCAACAACACATCACACATCCAGTCTTCAGCTCTGTCAAGGTCGTTTGATAACCACAGCTTTCTATCTTTTGTATTACACCTCAAACACAAATATTTACTCATATTTTAACTAAAACTAACATCAAATGCTTGCACAACAAGGCAACATTTTCCAAATCAAAATGTTTAAAAGATTAGAGACATAAAGCTGAGATTTCAACTGTTAACAAAGACTGAATAAACCTACCACTTCAGCTGCTTGCCAAGATAAAAATCAATATGGCCGCCAGACTACATTAGGGCCAAGCCAGCTCACATGTGTAGCCCATACAAAGCTGTTAAATTTATCAGAAATCCTCCATAGCTAAAATTCTATTCAACACAAAGTAATCAAGTTAGGGTGCAAAGTTCTGTTAACTGATTTAACTCACATCAGCTCAACTAGGTTAAAATTAAGTTCACTAGATTTATACTATCATCATGTATATAGCTTACTGTAGTTTGATACCACTCTCATTGAATATTAATATTCTACACGTGTGCCTGGCTCTTTGTCAAATACTCAACTGGTGCTTAGATAACAGATTTTCCTACATTTTCATCTGACCTCAATTATTCATCTAACCACAAGAGACCACTAAAAGGAATATTTAATATGCTAATTTGATCTGCTTGCTTGACATATATTTTATGTTATCTTTACTGGGTATTTAACAATATAATTTAATAAATAGACACAACTATGGTATGTAAATAAATCTACAAGTCAGCATATCTATGTTTATTTATATATTATATACACTGATTTCTTTCAATAAAATTGAATTTAAATACCCTTATTGAATCACAATTGTTTTAAATCTGATTCCCTGTTAGTGTAAATGTACTAAATCAAGATTTGAAAACATATAATTGGAAATTCTATTTTCAACAAGCTAGCCAAGATTCTTAGAATTAAACTCAAATTAAAAGTAAACTTGCATAAAAGAAAAAAACAACTGTAAAGTTTTATTTTAAATGTTTAGCATATATACATGTATACAGTAGTACAAGTAATATCTATTTATACGACATGTAGGTACTCTGTGTGTGTAGGAGCTTGTCATGTAGATATTAGCCTGCGGTCATGTAAGTAAATGTGGTAATTTCCTCTGTTTGACAGATTTATATGACGTGGTGAGGTTAATGTGGTTGTTTTTCTCCCAGCTACATGTACATGTATATTTGATTTTATCTTCAGTATTTATATTTAGATCCATTGTCATCATACATCATTTACTTATAATATATACTACTGTCATATACATTATACTCTACACTTCAGTATTTTATTCTAATTTTACATCATCATTATTTATATCAATTTCTCAAAAAAAGATGTTTGTGTTCAGACATTTTTAAAATTATGGATTAGACTGAGTGTCTCAATACCAATATAAGAAATATATATCAACTGATAACCATATAATTTACTTAATAAATACTGTTTCAGTAACACAGAAAAATACTACAGCAATAGTTTACATAGTTAACACTCTATACTGACATATATATAAAGGCAAATTGCAAGCTGCCTGGAAATGGAAGCTTACCAGGAACAGATGACAAATTAAGTGGAAAATACTTAACGAGTTTGAACAATTTTCAACTTCAACATTTTACCCTCAAATAATCAACACTTACAAAAGAAGTAAATACAAATAAAGAGAACTAGGTTATGCAATTTAAAGAATAGATGGATGAATGCTGAAGTAATCAATTGTTAGCAGACGACTAATTTAACAATGTGTTTACAACAGTGAGTCATATCAGTGAGTTATGTTTGAGTTTCTTTAATGGCTGTGTATAACACACATTTGTTAAATATGTTGACATTTATAGCACAATTTTCTTTTTCTGAAAAAATCAAAGCTTTCACGTCAGCTATTAATGTATAAATGTGCGCCATGTTTTTTTTACTATTATTATTTTAAAAAGGTGTATTGTTGTCATTTTTATAGCTTACATCAAGCTAGATTTTGAACATGCTAATATCCGATATTAAAATGCATGACTAAGTTGTATAATACTACTAGAATATGATATAAATTAACTTTGACCTACTCTAACAGAACTATTCACATTTTATTTAATATAAATAGTTGAGGCCATCAGGGGATCATTTCTATATTATGCTGAAATATTTTACACTGTTATGTAAATATAATCCAGTTGAAAGTTTAGTGGTGGTAATAGGAACAATGGTATATTGTGTGGTAGAGCTGACAGTTATAATGTACTTATGTATTTTATAATAATAAATTTAGTGTAGTCAAGTGCTGTACTTTCACCGGGTAGCGCTAAGACTTCCATGTAAAGGTTTTATTAAATATACCTTCCCATGTACAAACTGGGTGAATTGATGATATATTTGGACTAAAATCATATTCAAACTAATTAATCTATCAAAATTTTGCTTCAAATCCTTCTCAAAACATTGTAATCGCCAGGAAATACCCCTGCTATAAAAAATCCATGTTTGTGTTACTTGACTTGGCTGACGCGGTACCTAGCAATGGGTGCAAAGCTGGATGAGAATTCATAGCAAATACAAGACGATGTTGTCTTTAATCGCTGTCCATTTATCATAAATATCCAAGCCTAATTAAATTCTCAGATTATCCACTGCCTATGTCTTTTTCCATGTTTTTTTTATCTTAGACACTGTTGTACGTTTAAGCTCACCATCAAACGCTCACTAACTCTGAGAGGTCAGTAAATCTTCGCATGCAACCTTTGATGTTACTCGAGTAGACATCCGGAGTAGACATCCGTAATCGTCGAGTTACCGGTTAGGGATACCCTTACATTTTTGTCTTGTATTTGCTCCATAGGTGTTTATCAGGGAATCCAGTAGTTTACAAGTAAGATTGGATATTTCTACTTGCCATATATACCAAAATTGCCATACTTTTATTGGAAATAACCACCCGATAAATACTTTTGTGGGAAAGTAACTTTAAATATCGAATTGTATATACTATACAAACCTTTCTTTTCTTCTTTCTCTTTCCACACATTCTCGATCCAAACGTTCCATCTCTAAACGATCTCGTTCTCGTTCCATTCGTTCTCTCTCCATTTCCCGTTCCCGATGATGAAGGGTGGTAACGTCTGCCAATAGTTCATCTTGATGTTTCACTAACAACCAAGATGGAGGTACAGGTATTGAGGAGAATTTCTGCTGCCATAAAACTTCTAATTGATGTAGTCTATGCCCTGATAATGGATACTGTAAATGCATGAGATGTGCATTTTGTAACTGCATGACATGCAGTTGCTGCTGTTGTTGTGCATGTGCTGCTAATGTAGCATCTAACGGACTGAAGCTGGGAGGTAAGGTCAATGGACGTGATATACCCCCCATTGAAGGGGGTATTGGGTAATGATTAGGTAAAGAAGTCAGCATTTGTCGAGATATTGGATGTGATGAAAATGATGTAGATGTAGGAAGAGCGGCTGGAGAAGCTGGTATTGGTGTGTGAACAGTAGGATATAATGATTTTGAATGATTGGGTATATTATGAACACCACCTAAAAAATGGACAGGATTTTGTTTCATCAATTCTGGGTCTCGATACGGTAAAACAGGATCATGTCTATCAATAACTAATGGACTTGATGCTGGACTACTCTTGGCAGTTTTGAGATCATCAAACTGAGAACTGGGTCTCTTTTCGTGGTGACCACTAGATGTTGAGCGTTCGTCACTGGCACGAGAGTCTGATCGCTCATCCATTGCTGGAGTTGGAGGATTACTCCGCGAAATATAAGCCTGAAATCCTACATTAGTTTCACGAGGCCTTTCCACATTAATTTCCTGAGTTTTCATGTCCTCTTTGTCACTTTTTTCCTGTGAAATAATAGAAGATGCATTTTGTGATATGGTGACAGTTTCTGATTCACTTTTGTCCTCACCATTTAAAGAAAGTTTTTCAGCTTTAGCTAATTTAGTCACCTGATCAATAACAGATAAATTAACATCTATATTAGCTGTTAATGGTCCAGTATGACTGTCACTAGAATTGTTATTAGAACCACTATTTAACAGTAGCTGCTTTTTGTAGTGCATATTATCTTCAATCTCACTTGAATTATCACTATCCTTGGACGTTTTCAAAATACTTGTTACTTTGGAACTACTTTTAGACTCTTTTGACTCTTTTTCTTTCTTTGAGTCATCTTCTGGCTGTATTTGAGTTAAGTTCTTATCGGTATCAGTTAATGACTTACAGACATCACTGGAACTCTCCCCTGATTTTACCTTATCACTTTTACACTTCCTGTTCTCAGAACTCTTACTTTTAGCACTAACCTTCACCTTTACAGTTGGTTCTGATTTACTTTCTTTTAATATGTTACTAGAGTTTTTACTATTTCCACTACTCAAATTATTATTAGTATTATTATTATTAATATTATTAGTTCTAGCACCACTTTGATTACGCCTAGTTTTAGTTTTTTCTTTTACACTACTTGCTGCATTGTTTTTATATAAACCGATATCTTCAACTTGTACTTTTAATTCCTTAGTGTTTGTATCATTACGCGTTGGAGTCACTTGTTCTTTTGCAGTTTCACTTTTGGCCTTTTTGCTGGGAGACGTTAGCTGTTTGGTTTCATTGATATCGGAGCGCCTTTTCCGTTCACGCTGCACCTGTGGTTGTTTTCTACTTGTTTTTTCTTGCACTGAAAATAAATAACATAAATTCTTTCTTAGTTCAGATGGAAAAGAATAAAATATGATCAGGAAATAAACCACACTCAAATAGCAGTTAAAATGTCAAAACTTTTAAACTTTAAATTTTCCCGGAGTTGCATCTTATATAATATCATATTGTCTTATGAAACTCCAGACATTCATAAAAAAAAAACTAATTTGGCAGTTTAAAATGCAGAATAAATTTACCCAAGGTTTAGTTCCTAAAGCCAAAATACTCATATATTTACACATTTATTTTGGAATTGTTCCAAAAAATGAAAAGTGCCCAAGTGTTAGATATTTGCATCTATATGATAGATGGATAGGCAGGCACGTACAAGTGATATGTAGTAACAACTGATACATATAACAGCTGACAGCCAGACTAGTTTTTTTTTTTTTACTCCACGATAAACCTGTATAGCTATCACTACATAATTATAATAATATGCTTAGTTTTTATACATTTAACCACTGGACTTAATACACAACATACATGTACTACCTTATACAGGTTTTTCTATCAGGAAAAGTTTAACAGTAATGGTGTAGTACATGTTTTGTTATGACTAATATGGATGAATGCAGTACAGGAATAGATTTGTCCTGAGTACAGAAAAGGACATACAAATAAATCATAAAACAGAGAGAGAAAGAGAGAGAGAGAGAGAGAGAGAGAGAGAGATATTATAAATGAGATATAATATCTTCTCTTCAGCAATACTGATGACGCCTCTCTATATGATTAATTGATGATTACTTTAATGCATAGTTCTTAATATTGTAAGCTTATATTTACATGTAATTTGCGTGGAGAAAGATTATAACTTAGACAAGTGTAACACATAAATTCTGAGTAGCCACATAATAGGATGAATGGTATTATTTCAACCTAGAAAATGTAGACATGATACAGAGGCATGCCTTCAGCTAGAAACACCTGCTCCATGACCTGTGCCAATAAGCCAATGAGAGAATTTTGAGAATAATAAAGATATTTATAGTTGCAAGCATGACCGAACTTATGAAACGAAATAGCAGAACACTGTTGACAATCCTTTTAGATTTACAAATAAAGATTTAGCCTAGAGTCTAAAGAACAATGAGTTTGTTCTCTATTTTATTCTATACATCTTTAGTATTAGTTAACACTAGGACTACATAAATTAAGCGATTTTCAACTATAAAAAGCAATTCAATGTCTGTTGATCCCTAATTTAAATCGCTCTTATTTACAAGCAAAATCAATACAAACCTATGAGTTTTATATTCTATGAGCACGTTTTGTGGATTTGGCGCTATATAAATGGACATATTATAATTGTTATTGAAAAAATTACATTCACATTCTGAGTACATTTTGCGATTGTATTATTCTACTGATGTGTAACCATGTTATTTACGTCTCTTTAATTCATGATCATTATATTTGTATATACGCCTACCTAAATACACATAAACCCTATACACCATCAGATCCTATTAAATGTTAATCTATCCTTCTACTATATTATCTACATATGAAATAACAACTCTTATCATAATATAATCAATTAATATTAGTATAAATCATGACCTGGTATTCTTTCCTAGTTATTTTTTTAAATATCAAAAGTCAAAATGTCAGAGAATTAGTGGCCTAATTACCATGCTCATCATGATAAATAAAATACTGTGGTCGGATTGTCTGTAATGTTTGAAATAGCAATAATATACTGATATTTGTTTTATGGGTACATGCATCCTTTGAATAATCCATAAAAAAAAATCTTTAAGTTTCAACTGGTATTATTTTATTTAGAAGTCTGTTAATCACAACTAATACAAGTAAAACATCTATTACCTGATCGGTTTATTAGCGTTTATTAGTACATATGTTATTCATTAAGAAATAGATATTTAAGAATCCTGCTAACAGCAGCACAAAACAGACTTAGGTAGAAATCAGAGATCGTTTAATCAGCATCAATACCCTTTATCAAAGAAATACTAAAATACTTGTAGATATTTAGAAATAACAAAAAAATTATCTTACCTATTTTCTCTGGTTCTGGTGTTGAACCTCCTGATGGGTTTCTCTGACGAGTTTTGGCACTACGATTTGGTCTGATAGTTTGTATTTGCTGTGGTGTGAGAACTTGGTTGGGCCGTCTGGCTAGATGAGCCTGCAACAAAAAATGACACAGACATGATAATTACATTAAATGAGAGACTCTTGTTCAGATTTACAGTACCAGTCCAAACTTCTAGACAGACATAACTTTCTCAACTGTCTAAAATACTCTACTCCAGACTTTCTCAACTGTCTAAAATACAACAAATTGTTAAAAGTTTTTATTCTCTACTCCAGACTTTCACTTGTAAAACCTGTTAATCACAGGAACATTAACTTAATCTAACCCATTTCTATTATAAATAATTCCCTCTGTAGATAAATACTGATGAATGACAGGGCAAAGGGGATAAATGCTGTCTTTTGTTATCTTATTCATATTTATTTAAAACTCAACTATGGCAACCAATTAACCTGACAACATTATCAAAATAAACATTAAGTAACAAATATTTGAGTAAGCTATGGGTCTGATGTTTAACTTTAAAAGATGAATCATGCTAGACTGTCAAGTGAACTAATTAGAGATGATACCAAGCTATACTGTAGATTTAGACCCACTTTATAATGATATGATACTATATTTAATTAACATCTAGAAAACATGTTATAGTAATTGTTAAAACATATAATCTTTTAAACCTTATTATCATGTTCTACTTTGAAGACCATTTCATATCCCTTTATAAATGGTACATGTATATCTTTAAACCATTTCAAGAAAATTAAATATATGGAATTTTAGAAAGGCAATGACATGAAGATTAATGTGATATAGATATTAATTGGCTATAGCAACTTTTTCTCTACTGTAACGCCCACACCCCCAAGAAATCAACAATTAATATCTGTCACATCATATATTTTAAAAATATGTATATGTACATGTACAAATGATTGGTATCACATCATTATCTTAGGATAATACATATATCTTTTTGAATTACTTTAAACATATCAGTAGTTTCTCCTCTCTTCACTTAATACTCACAGATTAAATCTAATAATATAATATGTAGGACACTGTGTTTAAACTGTGCTATAAACATAATGTAAGTGATTATAAATCCACATATCACGGTCTTCATTCTTTATTAATAAATACTTTTATCACTTGGCAATCACCACCAACACACAACACGAACATGGGTGGTATATTAATACCAACATATATCTTACCTAAATAAAATATTTTGTTTCATATATCCATGTAAAATGTTTGTAATATAAGATATTCACTAGTATATGATATAGCACTATAGAATAATGATTGTTATTCTGTAGACAATAACAACCCGCCAGTTTCCTATATCTAACACTAACTGCATGTATAGCCTTCATACAACACCACGCTGGCAACAACAAGTGACCTTCACTGTGTTTGGCGGGCCAGCTCTGTAGGAATGTCAAACACTGGCAAATGGATCTTTGAAAGCTTATACAAACTTGTCAGTGGGTTGGCCTTTAGCCAAAATACATCAGAGCTAGGTGCTATTAGGCCACTAATCAAACTGGCTAGCTGCACAATGTCAATTGTTTTCCTACTACAATCCAGTCTAGCTCACTCACTTTGCCTTCATTATTTAATAACCTTTTACTATATAATATTACAGAGAGATGTCAATCCACCTTTAACCTTTCAACACAAAAAATACCTAATGTAGTACATACAACTAATAAATGGCTTACGCACACACACTCACATACATACATACATACACACACGGAAAAACAATTTACTAGTAATTTATTTTTTCTTCATCTGTTATTCAAATAAAGGTTACTTGTCCAATTATTCATTTACTGGAAAGAGCAAGGTGAATTGTGACTAGAGGGGTCTGTAACAATTGTGTTAAGTTATTCTAAACAGTTGTCAGGGTGTAATCAGTGAGAATGAGATATAAATGATAGTAGGTCTGGTGGCTGTTCTGGGTCTTTTTAATTCAATCACCACTAAGGAAACTAACATTATTTACATAGTTTTATTGACTATTCTGCACTCCTACATCTTTTTCTTATGCCTACTGTCAAAGTTAGTAAAATCATGTAATCAACACTATGTCAAGAAATCTGATTACATGTGTAACAGAAGAGAATAACTTTTCAAATTGGTATCTAGAAATACCTTATACTGTCTGTTGTTTAATAGACTTTAAATAATTGTTTAAGGTGAATTCTAACCTTTGATTGTGGGTAATGTCAGTGTTAAATTATAGTTCTATTGCCCTGTTGTAAGGTGCAGCCTTGGGCTTTTTCTTAGCAAATTACACAACATACTATCATTAACTAGATTGTACCACCATGAAGTAAGATGACATATTTTGATAAATAATATTACATTACTGTAAACAGTAAATCCTACCCTATAGGCCTGAAATATATTTAGACCACAAAGTTGACTGACTCTGTTATCTGGTCTCTAACATATTACATTACAATGAGAGAAAAGAATATTATCTAAACATGTATCATGCAGAAAAGCCATTTAAGTGTTATTAAGCTGTTTTCATTTTTCATCTCTCAGACAGATTATTGATCAGGATAAAATAACAAAGATGAGATCTCATTTACTTTCCTTCCTCTACAAGTAGAGAAGCAAGGCCATTAGAGAAGGGTATGGCTGAGAATAACAGAAAGGTCATCCACCACATATTTTATCATTACACAGATAAAAGGTTGCTATTGAGAATGACAAGATTCACCAGATCTCAATGTCTGATTAATGTGTATTATGTTCTCATACATTTCTGTATGTGTGTGTGTGTCTGGTCAATGGGGTCCACATGACAAATAGACTTGTTCAAAAGGTGAATGATAACAAATGATCAGAGGTGTGGAATATAGACAGCTGATAACATCCTCTGATAATTATATAAGCTGAAATGGCCTGTACACCATGTGTGTTATTCTAGACAAAACATTAGAATTTATCACATACTATTTCACAAGGTCCAGTACATGTAGCCATGATGTAGGCTTTACAATAAAATTTCTCAATAAATATCTAGTTTATTTTACAATGAAGACTTAAAAGATAGGGCCTTTAAATACGGCAACCCCATAATTTATCATTATCATAATAGCTTTGTGATCTCATTTACGAAGGAACAAATTATATTGATATCCATTTAAAATTACAATGAATTTCAATTAGATTTGTCAGATGGCATTTTTTAAGAAGAGGATGCAATGCATGATGATCTCATATGATTGATGAGCTAGGTGATCTCTTTAACTTAGATCACTTATCCAGTTTATATGTATTACAGGCCACCCACAAATAATTTAAATATATTCAAGTTAATATGATTTTTAGAAAGTTGATGTTTTCATAAATGGAAAAATAAATATGATGCCAAAATCTAACATTCTAAAATAAACTCAACAAAATATTGATGTTTAAAGAATCACAGATTATCCATAATTCAAATAAATATTTCAAATTTTAGTCATTAAAATCAATTATTGTCATTTATAGTAATTAACAGTTTTCTAACTAATTATTATAAATTGGAAGGCCTTGATTTTTTTATTAGTACTAAAAGAAAGTCCATCTGATTATTCTATTGATCATTAAAGACTGTCTGACATTTAACAAGGTCAATATGGCAGTCAATATGGCAGTTTAAATTAAGTATTGACATCACTTCACTAGACACATTAATTAATAACCAGATGTTTGTTTAAAGCCGACTATTCTACTAGTATAGTAAATAATACATTACTACATCACATATAAGTTAGTTACCTTTTCGTAAGTTAATTTCCTCTTATTAAAATATAAAGGAAATAACAAAGCTTTGGCTCTCTTGTCAGTCAGCAGCACGTAATCCCACAACACCGCTTAAATGAAAATAGTCTCAACTGTCCAACTAGATTCTATGTATTATATCAATTTCAACCTTTCATACCAAACCATAACCTAACCTCATTCATCATCATAACAGTATAAGAGCTAATCTCTACAACTCTTCTCTCATACAGCACTCCTTTATCATGTTAATAGCTGCCTGGGGTATAGTAAGACTACCTCTTTTTTCAAATCACATGGTTTTTCAATGGGGGAGCCTCTCAAAGTAGTAAAATGTATGCTAAGGCGTTGAGCAATGTGTATCCTGGATCTATAAATAATATGAAATATTATGCGTAAACATTTTTTGTACAGTATATAACAAAATAAGAGTTCACAGATGATATAACCTACTTTGCTTGTTATTTCATAAAGAGTTACGAGTTTAGCCTTTCTAATCAATACAAGCTAACAGCTCTTTCAATAAGCCAGACTAGAGAATAATCAAGCAGAAATTCTGGAATTACAATCTGTCCATAATGATGTCTGCTATTCATGTCAGCAATAACTCCATCGCATGTTACAGTCATAGTATATCTCACTGTCTCCTACTTACGTGTAATACATATAAATAAAAAAAAAATAAAAAAAAAAAGTTCACACAATCTAGATTGCCTTAAATATCAAAGTGAACATATATCTTAATATTTCTCTCTCAGTGTCCCAAAAAAATTGTGTCTAAATAATTGAATAAGGAATAAAATCAGTGAATTTTATCAGTTCTTTAGGGAGCTGCATGTTTGTTTGTGTCAATTTGCTAGGCTTGAGCTCAGATAGCATTTTAAGACAAGATCTTTTCTATACAGCCCACCATGAGTGTTTAATGATTCATAAGGATAAAGAATTTTCTTAACAATAAGAATTTTATTTCCACTTGATTTCAGCACAGGAAGTTTAACATTAAAATTTCTTTAAGCTCCATGCAAACTTTAACCCATTACATCGTAATTGATCAGACATTATAAAATCTTAATGTGTTTGTTCTTTAAACCATGCAATCCTTTTTTATATTCCATATACCACTATAATAAATTCTTACTAAACAGTATTTCATGCTTATACACCATAACCACTTCTTCAACAATAGCGTTTATTTACAGCCTTAAACATTGACTTATTCTGCTTTTGACCCTTTAGTAACAAAAGCAAAGGCTGACCTATTTTTCCTGGTGGGTAAACATACCTTACCAGTCATATATGCT